CTTCTTCTTCTTCTTCTTCTTCTTCTTCTTCTTCTTCTTCTTCTTCTTCTTCTATGATAATGTCAACCCCCGTCATCTAGCTGAATACACTTGTCTCTTATCGGTCGTCATGAACATTTATGTGTTGCTTTCCGTACAAAATACAGCATGGTCTTCCATCTTCCATGAACTGAACATTTCTGTGCTGTGCGTTCCGTATGTATATATTATTATATACAAGGTCTTACCTATTCCACGAACTTAACATTTCCGTGTTGCTCTTCTTTTAAATTCTTTCGTGAAATATACATTTGTGTGTTTTCTTCTGTCTGTCATAATGTCGTGTAGTGGAAACGTCTGTGTTTCTCGCTGTCTGTTATAATGTCGAGTCATCAACACGCCTGTAGCTGTCATAATGTCTTGTTGTGAAAACGTCTATGTTTAGCCCCATTTACACCTACAGTTAATAGATAGATAAACTGTGTAGGATATCGAAAGAATGGCGGGTATCCAGTCAACTTCCCGATAAAGCTAAGTGTGGAAACAAGCAATCCTCTCGATATCGAAGGGTTCTCAGTCCAGCAACCAGATATCTGGCGAAGGTAGATATTTTCCGGCCGGCGAACTGAAGGCATGACGACGAAGGAGCGGCTTCTTTGACATTGCCCAGTGTGGAGTTGAACATGCGTTCCCAAAACTTCCTAAATATTGGTCAAATAAAAAACTCACGCGCAGAACACAATTTAATGCTGGATTACCAAGCTATTATTTTTTTGGGTGAGTCTGTGTGTGTTTTGTGAAGGACTGACACTTTCAGGTAAAAAAAAAACCTGTATGTCTAAAAAGAACTTCTCTCGTCGACAAACTTTCAGTTCAACGATGACCCAGATCTAGCGCCTGTCGGTTTAACTGTAAGTTTGTCGATGAAAGAACTGTACGTGTAAAGGGACCCTTTCTCTCTGTCTGCAATAATGTCGTGTCGTTGCTCTCTGTCTGTCATTGTGTCGTGTCATGAAAACGGTGAGTATATCTCTCGCCCTGACAGCTCACCACATGGAAATGGCAGTCGATCATTCGGAAGTTGAAGGAAAAACGAACGGGACACTGCACAACGGCACTGCCCTGGCATCAAAAGTAAACCATGAACCGGTGGCGATGTGGAAGTGAGTAATCACACACACACACACACACACACACACACACACACACACACACACACACACTTATTATGTTATGTTTAATTAAGCCAATTGTAAATACATGCAAAGGGTTTGTGATTATGATTGCGTTTAGTTTTTAGTTTCAGTAAAGAGAAGCACGTCGACAACTCAAAAGCCATAATTTAAGGGAGGAAATAAATCAATATGAATTGACAGGGACATTGAAAGAGGGGAAGAGAGAGAGAGAGAGAGAGAGAGAGAGAGAGAGAGAGAGAGAGAGAGAGAGAGAGAGAGATAGAGAGAGAGGTATCGAGAGAGATTGAGAGAGAGAGAGAGGTTGAGAGAGGTAGGGAGAGAGAGATTGAGAGAGAGAGATTGAGAGAGAGAGATTGAGAGAGGTATGAAGAGAGATTGAGAGAGAGAGAGATTGAAAGATGTAGGGAGAGAGAGACAGACAGACAGAGAGAGAGAGAGAGAGAGAGAGAGAGAGAGAGAGAGGGGGGGGGGAGAAAGAGAGAGAGAGAAAAGAGAAAGAGAGAGAGAGACAGAGACAGAGACAGAGACAGAGAAAGGAAGGAGAGATGGAGGTATAATGTAAAATAACCTTTTATGTGCGTACATGTACGTGTCTAGAGACACACATTTTCAAGTCCTTCTAATGACACACTTTATATGTACGTGTATCTAGTAACACACTTGTCGCCCCTGCTAATTAGTTTCTCTCCTCCACTGTCACCCCAATAAAGAGAACAAGAAGATACGAGCTTTTCAAACGGAAAAAGTGAGCCGCCGACTCCTGATATCAACGGACTCACGAACGGTCTGGAGAGTGACGGACTGCTGCAGATATCGAAGACGAAAAGCCCTGAAGTCACCAAGAGCAAGAAGGACGATGAGGACCACGCAGACACCGACAGGTTGGGACATGTGTTCATTGCTCGATATATTATAGATCTACGTTATATGGTTGTTCTCTTAACGGGTGGTGTGCATCATACAAGGTATTTTCTATGGGTTTGACTTTCTTTAAGTTTTTATTTTCAAGTGGTATAAGTTAATTATAGACTAATTAGAAGCTTTATGTCTAAATTTACCGACTTTTCTGAAACAATTAATTTGGTCTCTATGGCGGCCATATGGATTTTTTGGTGGCAGGCGTTTTCCAAAGAAAATATTAGAATATAAGCCTCAAGCTTAACACACAAATACACAAACCCATTAACTGTGATCATAGGAGAGAACTGTTTCACCCCTGACCCCAAAACACACCGACATTTCTGCCCCACCCACCCGTATGCATTCCAACCTCTCCTTGTAGTCTTTGTTGAATGAAATTGCGCCAATGTCCTTCTGAAAGCCACAAGATACGATAGGATCAGTTAAGATAAGATAACAATTTATTTATCTTCACATAAATAAATATTTTTGCGGGAAAGCAAATACACACACGCACATGCATTCGTCAACACACTTTCTCTCTCTCTCTCTCTGTCTTTCTCTGTCTCTCTCTCTCTCTCTCTCTCTCTCTCTCTTTCTCTCTCTCTCTCCCTCCTTTACACACGCAGATACAAACACACGCACACACACATGCACACACATACACACACACACATACACGCACACACATGCACGCACATACGCACACACACACGCACATGCAAGCACACGCAGCAAATGCCGTAAAACTCTTATTAACAAAACGAAATCTCTCCTTCAATCCCAACTCCGACCCATCCACCTGTCCACCTGTCCATTTGTACTGCCTGCCTGACCACTGGTGACCACTGGGACAAGCAGCCTCGACCTCACGGACCCCGATGACGTATTATTCGCCCAGATGGAGCGGGGGATGTTGCTCAGCATCTGTTACGCGGCCAACACAGGTGGGATGGCCAGTTTGACAGGCACTGGACCCAACCTGGTGCTCAAGGCCGCGGTGGACGAGTAAGTTCCTCCCATAGACTTGAATTATAAAGTCTCAAATTGGGCACTGTCAAGGGCGCCCGGGGGACGATAACTTTAATGTTTTTTTATCCTAGACTTGGCACTGTCATGGCCGTCCATAGACTTGAATTATGATATTACATACTGTGAAGGATGGAAGGTCATTATACATCAACCTCTGAGTTAGAGATGACACCTCCAGGTATCCAGGTATGCTATGCGCTGTCATGACTGCGATCAACTTGCGTTATAACTCTTTGGACCTCAACACGTTAGAATCAAGCTGTGTATAAGGAGGCTGATGCTTGATAACCCCCCCCCCCCACATTCTAAATCAATTACCCACTCAATGAGATGATCGAACATACATCTATACATATACATACATGTAAGGGCATGAATTGACACTGTTACGTTCTGAACAAACGTGTGTCCACGTAGTATTTTACCCATACCTAGCTAAGAAACTAGCTGTTTCTTCTTCCTTTTCAGTTAAAATCTAAATTTTAATTGTCCTGTACGGCCACCGATTGTTGAGCAGAAAGGTGATTATCATAGACGAATGGGCATTTGGACTGCGGCAGTATAATAAAGAAA